GAAGAAAAGGCAAGCATAGACAAATTCCTAATAATGCACCAAAACGTAAGGTCACTGATTAATAAAAAAATGAACTAGAGGAACTACTGAATGAACAAGACCCAGATATTATGATACTCAGTGAAACCTTTACTAGAAGTGAAGAAGCAGAACATACAAGGTATGGTGACTATCAACACATAACTAGCTATAATAGAGACAGTGCTGCCAGTAGAGGAGGTGGAGTAATAATCCTATCAAGACTCTCTAACACCCTGGAGATATCTAAATATGATGTAAACAAATACTGCAAACAACATGTACTTGAAGCCTGTTGCATCAAGATTAAGCACATCCAGAGCAAACAGATATACCACCTGATAGGAATCTACAGGCCACCACCAATAGACTCTATTGACGAATTCGTGTACCTACTAAATAATCTTCTTCTTGAAGTATATGACCCAAGAAGTGCCATCATTATTGCTGGAGACTTCAACATAGACAGAATGGGAAAAACCAAGCACCACGGAGAACTCGAGAGCATACTCAAAACATATGATATAGTACTACAAGTTAATGAGCCAACAAGAATAACCAAAAAAAACATCAACTTGCATTGATAATATTGGGATCACCAAAAATCAGGACACCAAAACAACTGTGATAAAAACTTCAATATCTGACCACTATGCACAGAAGATTGAGATAAAAAACAACAAAAATCTGAGGAAGGAGAAGCAGCAATACAGGATTAGGAGAAACCTACATGAAGAAAATCTAATTGCACTTAATATCAAACTAAGCCAGGAAGAATGGGAAGAAACATATAGACAAGTAGATGCGAATGAAACAGCTAAGAGCTTCATGAGAACACTCCAATACCACTTCGATGTTACATGCCCAAAGACTAAAACCAAGATTAGAACTAATAAAAAAAAGATCTCAGATTATAACAATGAAGTGATCAAGGAAGCAAAAAATAAACTTGATATAGCTTGTGAGCTACTAAAAGAAGGCCATGATAGCGTTAATAAGGAACAAGTCAATAATATGAGGAAGAGATACCATGGGAGTGACTCACTACCTCTACCAAAATTACCTCTACCGTATTTTCTTAATATTTTTATTACTCGATGGACGAATGAAAATTACCTCTACCCAAAAAATAAAAATATTGAATATAAATATTGAATAAAACAATTCCCGACATTCAGATGGACGAATGGAAAACACCTCTACCAAGAAATATAAATATTCGAATA